AGAGTGCGCAGATTCAGCGTAGCCCAGCCAACGCGTGCCGTGTCGCTGTGTTCGATTTCGTCCATCGTGAGTCCCTGTGGCGGGTAGTGGAACTAGACCGCGTATCGGTAACGAGTTTAATGGTTGCCAACTCGAAGAAGTACTGTTTCAAACACCTCGGAGTGAGACTACTGCTTAACGGACGGAGTAAGTACGACAATGTCTTCCAACCCGATGCTGCTCGCTGGATTCTCTATAACCTTTGGAAGTGTCTACGGACCGAAGCAACATCTCCATCGCCACAAAGATTCGCGTGTACCGTACATCCGGCTGGTCAGTCCTTCTTTACGATTGTGAATGGTGGGCTGTGCGCGTGCAAGATGATCGAGAACTAGAAGTATTTAACCATCGCTACTTGAGGACTATCCTTTGGATGAAACACACCGATTTCGTCACAAATGAGATATTCCGCACTCGCCGTGATAACAGAACGAGGATATCCTAGAACAGTCAATGCACGATGGCTGAGATGGTTTGGGCACATTCTTCGTCGTCCCTCCTGCGAACTCTGTGTCCTTGCACTCGATTCGGAGCCCTTGCTCACTTAAGGGCCATAAAGTGGAGGTCAACTCAAAACCTGACTCGACATAGTTGGTCGAGGCATGAAATCGGTTCTTGGACCTTCTGTATTCGGTCTCCGTCGCTGGGAGAGAGAGAGTGGGCTGAGATGCCTAGATCCGCTGACACTGATCGTCACACTTGAAGAGGTACACTCCACGACATCATCGAGACCAGCTAGGTAAGGCATGATCACAGCTGCACCATATAAAAGTTAGTGCGAGATTGGCGCGGAGCAGCGGACGATAAAAGCAGACTATCGATCCACGTATACTACAAATAACGGGGGCCCTGACTCCATACGTACAAAGCTTTATTCAATGTCTGGGATGTCACATAATCTACAATGTGATACGGAATAAACCAAGAGAGGCCCTTGTATGCTGGATTTTATTCCTGAAGAGGATCGGGTTATTCCGTTAGTCGGCAGCCTTCTAAGCCACGACTTTCAGTGCACCGTGAGAGGTTCAAACAAGTCAAACAGACGATCCGCTCCCTTTTCCTATCAAGTCAGTGACGGATTTTGGCAAGTTTGGCGTTTCTGTCTAAGGATGAAAGCCCGCCAACAGACGATAATCGTGCATTTTCTTGCCGACATACTGCTTCGGGTTCGTTTCTCACATCAATTTGGCGGCACGCGTATCGTTGTGGGGGAATGATAAGCTGTGGGCTGACCGAAGACCTCACGAATCGGCCCAACTTTGCTGGCGACATGGGGGAATGGAGTTCCTGTGTAACCCGCACGTACTATGCAAGTCTATAGTCCATCTAGCCGCACGACTTTTTCGGACGTTTTCCACATGCGGGAGGTCGGAAGAGACGAAAACACGGCGGATTTCGTTGGTGCGATGCGAACGGCCTCCAAGGTTGTCTGCAAAGTGCTCGCTAATCGACACAGACAAGGGGGATGCCTTCTAATATACCTAAGTTCACTTTAGAATGAAGAGATTATGTTTATCAGACTCTACTTTAACTTAATGGCAGTGGAGGTAAAAGGGGAATGATGAGCGCGAATTAGAAACGTCCTGGACACGGCCCACACGAAGTGCTGAGGAGGCTCCTTCAAAAGGGCATTAACGTGACATAAGTACTCCAGCATCACGTAGGCACAAGTCTGCCGGCATCCTGCTGGCATAAATAGGCTGGCCTTATGCTGACATCGGCACGCACATGACGGAGTCGCCAGAATTTTGCTACCAGGGAAAGAAGATCTCGTGACTCGGGAGACATTAATTTGGCGCGAAAGCAACTGATGCACCTTCGAGAATTCAGCAGCGCTTTTGTGATTTCCATTGCAGGCAACAACCGCTGAAGTGTGAAGTTAGGCGCATGTGATGACAATGAACAACATTATTTTACTTATTTTTACTTGTGAGACTAACTTGTTGAACAGGATTTACTTGGTAGGTCTTTATTGCAAGTAAACTTTCATGATTAACTTTCGGTGGGGCAACTCGCACTAAACCAACCAATGGCTTACGTGGGTGGGCATTGGTTAGTCAGCTAAATAGCGGATAACCAGCAAAGTCAGTTTAACTAGAAATCAGAGTCGCGGCTCCGCGGGGCTGCACCTAGAATGAGCCAACCCAAACACAAAAAAACGAACAGACGCCAATGGATTAAAACGAAAGCAATCGCAAAAATAAAACGGCGGGGTAAAACAAATGATATGACGATTATGGAATCCGAGACATCGAACGAAGGTGCGAAACAAAAGTAAGGAAAATGACAGCTAGGAGAAATGCGACTGCCGGACGCAAAATTGCAGATGAGGAGCAAAACGTCCTCCATTTCGCGACAAGTAACACTACTGACTTCTGTGACTTGGTAGTCGGAATAGCAGGCCTTCCGTGTGTACGTGAGCTGAATTGGCTCAATTCTGCGACAAGTGGCAATACAGTTTGCAAAATCCTGACGACTGTCTACTGATTCACGTATGCGGTGACAAAGTCGCGCAGAGGTGCGTAGGTTTGTGCAACGTCTAGGCTGCTTGACGCGCAAAGGAACGATGCACGATCATACGCGCAGCTGCTCTGCGCTCTTCAATGCGCGCCTGCAGTTAGGATTGACAGACGCGGCCGGAAAATTAAGTACTTGGACCGCTTCTGCACCTGAGACATAGGCCGATCAGCGAACCTACAGTTTACGAAATTCATCCCGTCTACGACTGTGGCGTAAGAACAGGCTGCGGTTGCAGACCGAATTGACATAACATTTGTCACGACCTTTCCAAGCATTCAAGCCGCAGTGTTTACCAAATGGTCCCCCAATGTTCCACTATCCGCTTATGAGGTCCTTCGGCAGAACAAACCTCAATAATTAAATGTCTTTTTGACAAAAATTCAACAATGCAGAGATTCGCTTAGCAGTGAGTGTACCACGAGCTATCGATGACTTTGATATTGCTTCCTATTTCGAGTGATCCGCATTATGGTTAGCAGGAAAATTTATCGTTTGCTATGTACCGTTAATAGGATTAAACTTACCTGCTTAATATCGGGCTTTCACTGCTTCTCTAAATCTGTTCTCTCAGCTAGGGGAGCTACATGTCGAAATGCAATGGAAAATTGTGATATGCATACTTACCAGTGTTGGTGAAGCTTGGCACTTTGCATGGATGGTGGCTCGCCTTCACCGTGATTATGTATTGTCGTGCTATGCGTTTGTTAGATGAGTGTGACAGGGTCTGTTGTCGATTGCCTGCGCACGGGTTGCGCAAACATTACGAAGAAAAAATCAAGAGAGCTAAAATACTTTCTGTCAGGAGGGCCTAAACTCTTAAATACAAGAGTTGTCCAATCATTGGAGGCCATGTGCTTTCTCCCTACCGCGCTGTCAGCATAATCATGGCGCCACTTCATTGGCTGCTCTTCTCGAGCCTGATCGATCCATGTGTTCGAATGATCGACCAACTCGTCTACACTGTTCTTCTCGAAGTGTATTGTGTCAAATGCAAGTGAACCCCAGTAGGATGTTATAACTACGCGTTACTTTCCC